GAGTCCTAACCACTGGACCACCAGGGAGTTCTCGGGATCTTCCAAATATTTTTCTTTTTTAACCACACACCCGCTGCTAAATGCTATAATTCAGTTCTGCCTCTTTTTGGACTTTATAAAAATGGAGTTATGCTGTACATATTATTATGTGTCTAGCATCATGTGCTTAACATTATGTTTGCAGGATAATTGCATGGAGCTGTGCAGATTGTTCATTTACCTTGCCAAGTAGTATGAACATCCACAATATTGATATTCATCCCAGTGTTGACTGTTTGCAGGCTGGGGCTATTACAGACAATACTGCTGGTGACATTTTTGCCTATGTGTCTACACGTGCCTGGACCTAACCCTGTGAATGCAACTGCCGGATCAGGGGGCATGCCTCCCTTCAATTACACTAGATACTGTTTTCCAGAGAGGCGGCTCAAGCGTCATCCGCCAGTCTTTTTCAATACACCACCACCATCTGGTGGCAGCTACGAGTATTGCAAGAAATAGAACACAGGAAAAAGGATTTAAGCTGAATTGTGGGAGGTCCCTGCTACTTGAACTCTGTTTTGGTAACAAAACTGTCAAGTACTCTGTGATATCCTAGGATTCAGTTTTCATAGAAGCGGTGAGTTATCTCCTGGCTTGTTTACAATCCACACAGCATCTAGAATGGTGCAGGTATGCACACACAGCAGGTAAGACAGAATCAACCAGTGGTTCTTCAGGCCAATGCTCTCAAACTGATGCCAAAGCCTGCCAGAGGTTTTATCTGGGGCATGAGCTCGGAATCCTTACATTCATTTGAGTGTTTACTGAGATCCTGGCTTTGCATCTGGTTCCTGATAATCCATCCACTTTCCATCCTCCGACCCAAACAAGGGTGGCTCTGGCCTGACCAGTGCCCGTCACCCAGGGGTATGTCCTCCTAATACTGCCCGGACACCCACTGTGAGGCTAGGGGTCAACTTTCATACCTTTTCCTATCACTCAGTGATGCTTTTCCAGAAGGAACGAATCCCTGGAACAAATGGGTCATGAGACACTATCCCACTTCAGTCTCTGGGAGATGAGCGAACTGCTTATCCTCAAAAAGGTCTGGATAGCAGGAGGCCATGCAGCTGCAGGCACTTCAGCTCATATAATTCTCAACAATTCTGTGAGGCAGGTACTGATCCTGCCCACCTGACTGACGGTGGAAGGGAAGTCACGTGCCTAGAGTTAAGTCTCGGAGTGAGGACTTGAACCCAGGCCTGCCTGACCCCAAAGCCCTGCTCCTACCAAACTCACTCTCTTCTGCGCCAACAAACCAACACTGGGTTTGATTCCGCCAAACCGTGGCGATGGCCAATCTTACCCAGTAGTTGTTCCAGAAGCAGCCCCACTCAGGGTGCCAGCCCCAGGTCAGGGGCAGGACTCTGCATGTGCACTCACCCCATCCTCTCTTTCTTTCCAGACCAAAAAGCCTGAGCACTCAAGACAAAAATAAGCAAAGCACTCTGACCTCATGGAGGTCACAATCTCAGACCTGCCACCAGAGAGAAAAGATTCCAAGCTACAAAGCACAGGGCAGGATAAGCACTGACAGTGTTTGCAATGTAGCGCCACAGACATCAACAAGAAAGGAAACAAAAAGAGTAACAAAATAGGCTTCTTAGCACCACTGGGACTTCCAATCTATGCACAATAAATAAAAAAGAAATTTCATCTGCAGAGGACCCCATGGAGGGACGCAGAGCTAAGAAAGCTGTTGCTCCTGGGATTGGGGACCTTAGAAAGAAGGAGAAAAAACAGGAGGAAAAGCGGCTGTGAAAAGGAAAACTGGTGATAAGGATACAAACGATTCTAGACAAAGTACCTTCACAGACACACAAACCCAACAGCTCTGCTCCCCACAGCAGTCCTGCGAGGCAGGCAAGGCTCAGATGAGGAAACGAAGCTCAGAAGAGATAGGACTCATACACAAGGATCAGCTATGAAGTGAAGTGGGGACCGTGGACTCCAGGTCCAGGGCGTGGTCACCCACACTGGGAGCCCCCAGCCCAGTGGGCCGGGATCTCAGAGGGCTCCTGCCTTGGGAAAGGTGCTTCCTGATCCTGTAAAAACTCGCCTTGGCTGGCTGCTCTTTTTAGCAAAGTTTTCTCCAGAGTCGAGACCCTAGTGGTCCAGTGGTTAACACTCTGCACTGCCGCTGCAGAGAGCACAGGTTCAATCCTTGGTCAGGGAACTAAGATCCCACATGGGAAGCACCTCCCAAAATAGCTTTAGTTAGANGGCTGCTCTTTTTAGCAAAGTTTTCTCCAGAGTCGAGACCCTAGTGGTCCAGTGGTTAACACTCTGCACTGCCGCTGCAGAGAGCACAGGTTCAATCCTTGGTCAGGGAACTAAGATCCCACATGGGAAGCACCTCCCAAAATAGCTTTAGTTAGAGGAGATATATCATGACCTCTTACCATTTACCTCTGTAGTCATCCTCCCCAAAACTCATATCCCAGTCTAATAACGAGAAAAATGCCAGGCAAATTGCAACTAAAGGAAAACCTACAAAATACCTGACCAATACTCCTTAAAACTGCCAAGGTCGAGAAGTGCCCTTGACCGGTGCGTAGGGATCCGCTGTGCATCCCTCCGCTCTCGCTGCAGGGAGATGGCTCAGCGACTTCTTCTGAGGAGGTTCCTGACCTCCATAATCTCCGGGAAGCCCTCTCAGAGTCGGTGGGCACCCCTTGCCTCCAGGGCCCTGCAGACCCCACAGTACAGTCCTAGTTACCTGGCAGGAACACCCAGCCAAGCCCGGTCTATATACACCACCAGAGTCTGTTCAACAACCTTTAACATCCAGGATGGACCTGACTTTCAAGACCGAGTTGTCAATAGTGAGACACCAGTGGTTGTGGATTTCCATGCACAGTGAGTCCTGGGGGTTCGTGGAAGACTGGGGTATCACTTATTCAGATATTTGTTTATTGAGAGGCTTCTGTGTCTCAGTACTCCATTTGATACTTCTCATACATGNAGGTGTCAGCTGTACCCACCGTACTGGCCATGAAGAATGGGGACGTGGTGGACAAGTTTGTGGGGATCAAGGATGAAGACCAGCTGGAGGCCTTCCTGAAGAAGCTGATTGGCTGACAAGCAGGGACGCATCCTGACTGCCCCTGCCTGCTGGGGCCCCAAGGTCCCGGGGGGGACCCCAACAGAACTCACCGCCCCTCTGTGCTGGTCCCTCCCGCCTCCTCCCTTTGTCTGGCCCCTGTGGGCCTGTGCTTTGGAGACCAGGCCTCCAAACATAGGAGCCTCAAGTGCTCCTGACCTGCTGCCCTCCAGGGTGGCCACCCGAGGAACGGGGCTGCTGCAGAACTGGGGCAGCTGTCTTCCCAGCCGCTCCATCTGCTCCCTCTGGGGCTTGAGGCCCTGCTCCCTGGATGCTGGGCCAGAGCCCGGGGCCAACCTGCAGTAGCAGCTTCATCCTGCCTCCCTGCTCCCTTCTGATCTGAGTCCCGAGGCCTGGCTTACCTGCCTCCTGCATTTTTCTTTCCTGCCGCTGTTTTATGAAAAGACAAAGAAGGAAAAAAACCCAGACAAATGAGAGTAATACATGTAACTCTCATTTTTTGTAGGTCTGTAATAAAGAACTTTATGTGATCCCTTTCACCTCTCGCGGTGAAGAACAGACCCTGGGCCCACACCCATCCCCCCAGAGACACCCCTCCCTCTTTCCTCACAGGCGCCAGAGCAGCGGACACGTGTTGGGCTATGAGCATCCTGCAGGCCCTTGATTCTGGAAGGCTCAAGACACTACCCTCCCTCACCATTAGCTGGCCCTTTGGTTCTCTGAGGCTTCACTGTGAAAAAAAACTGGACCAATAAAGCTAGGGTTTGCACTGTCACCAGCTTCCGCTCTGTCTGGGCTCCGGGGGCACTTGTGACCCCTTCCCAGGCTGCTTCCGTGTTCCCCCTCTGACCACCACCAGCCTCTTGTCCTTGGCCAGCCATTCCTGTGACTACTGCTGTTGTCAGTGGTGGCCACTCTTCCGGGGACAGCTTTACACAGGCGTCAGGCAGAAGGGAATTTGTGGCCCCCATTATGCACAGAGGCTCTCGGGGTGCAGAGCCCACACTTCTGCCCAGAGCTGGTTGCCTCTGAAGCCTGGGCTCTTGTCACTGATCCCCAGGGGCCGCCTCTGCTAAGCGGGTGCTCACTCCTGTGTGCACACTCCTCGGGAAGCCTGGCTGGCCCCATGCCTATCCCAGCCCATCAGGAGGTGGGCTGTCCTTCCTGTGTGTGGGTAGGAACTCAAGAGGCTTTGAGACCAGGCTCTCCGCCCATTCTTGTTCCCAGGCTCCCCTTGGCCCATGGAGGAGGGTGCCAGGCAAACCAGGTTTCCAGCCAGCAAAGCCTATCGCCTTTTCCCCTGTGGCCGAGCCACCCTTTGGCTCACTTGCCAGCTGAGAGACCCACCCTGTGGGTTCCAGGCAGCAGGGTGTCCTTCCCCTTGGCCCGAGGGTGCTGTGTGCACTCTTGGTGTTCTCAGTATCCCTGCTGGAACTACCTCAGTTACTGCGGGGTCTTTGACGGCTCAGCCCCAAGACTGCCTTGGGAAGTCTGTGACAGGCGCCAGAGGGCAGGGTTAGCTCAGAAGCAAGGCCTGCGGCCTTGGGAAGGCCGCCGGCTTGGAATCTGTCACAGGCATGTAAAAAGGAAGTAAACCAGCGACTGGCATTTGTGGAGAAAGGCCAAGAGCTGTGTGTAAGATGAATGAGAACAGGCAGTGCCGAGAGATGCTTCCTGGGTGCCAGGCGCTGTTCTCAGTACCTCCCCACAGCAGCCCCACGAGTCGGGCATTCTCATCACTGCTCCCCTTAACACACCAGACCCATGGAGGGAGCTTGGGGACCTTGGCCAGGACACATAGCCCCCAGACACCTGGGCTGGCTCTGCTCCTGCACTGCCCCCCTCACCTTAGAAAATGGAGTACGTGATCCTAACCCCACAAGAGCCTGCCAAAGCTGGTAGCGTCAGCAATCTTTACAGAAGAGGCACTGATGCAGAGTTGAGTAACTCAAAAATGCCCAGCAAGTAAGGGCTGGGGCTCGAGCTCAGAGCTGAGCACTGTGGTGCCTGAGCCTGGGCCCTTCCCTTGCCATTGGCCACCACAGCCATTCCTTAAAAGGTGCCCTTCGCCAAGCACTTTCTCTGCATGACCTCATTTAATTCCTCTCTGGTGAGGCAAGTGTTTCCATATTACAAGTGAAGGAACTGGTTTGGGGAAATTGACTTGCCCAAGGTCATATCTAAAAAGTGATAAGACCAGATTTGAACCCAGGTCGGGGGCTGGCCCCTCTGCCCAACCAGAGTAAGTGTGGAGCTGGGCTGGCGAAAGCCTCAGGGCGGAGGCAGGGCCCCTGCCCTGCCCGGAGCTCCCTGTCCTTAAAAGGTGTGCTGCGGGGCGAGGTGAGCTGGAGAGGCTGCCTCCCAGCTTGGCATCTCTGCCCGTGAGGCTGTTCGTGGCGTGAGTCACTAGCTGTGCACACAAGATCCTCAGGGTGATCCCGTTTGACTAATTCCACGGCGCTGATCTCACCAGGACGCTGCTGGCTCTGCATCCCCGGCCCCACTGTTGCTGCCCTCTGGGTGCCTCGGGCTCCTGGGCCCGTGAAAGAGGGGTTATGAGCATGCAGCTTTGGGGCCTGGCAGCCATGGGGACACCCCGACCCCTCTGAAGCACAGACACCTACAAAACGCTCTCAGCCCTGAGACGTCCCGGGATGTGGCTTCTGTACCTCTACTCCTAATAACAAGTTCACCCAGTTGATCTGGAGGCGGAGATGGAAGCTTGAGTTTGTAGAGTTTATGTTCTCTGCTGTGACCCCACCACCCCCCTGCCGGGCAGTTCTTCCCATTACACAGATGAGGAGACGGAGTGCCAAGTGACACCAGTGGAAAGGCCAGGACCCTATTCCCAATAGGATTGCTAAGTGCCAAAGAGCCTTAGCAGGTCTTAGAAGCACTTGATTGGATGAATGGTGGTCATTCTTGTGGATGCCTTCTAAACATGGGAGGGAGAGTGACCACAGCTTCAAGAAGCCTGTGTTTTAAATTTGTTTGTTTTTCAGTATTTATTTATTTATTTGACTTTAGTTGTGGCACATGGGATCTTTACTTGTGGCATGTGGGATCTAGTTCCCTGACCAGGGGTCAAACCCAAGGCCTCCTTCACTGGGCACGCAGAGTTTTAGCCACTGGACTACCAGGGAAGTCCCAGTTTGTTGTTGTTTATAGTCACTAAGTCGTATCCAACTCTTTGCAACCCGTGGACTGTAGCCCACCAGGCTCCTCTGTCTATAGGATTTCCCAGGCAAGAATAGCGGAGTAAGTTGCCATTTCCTTCTCCAGGCAGGTGGATGCTTTACCACTGGTCCACCTGGGAAGCACTTAGCTTTAAGAAAAGAGCAAGGGGTGGTGGGTCACCTTGAACGAATGTCAGTGTGAGGAGTCCTGGAGTATCGTCCAGATCCTCAGAAGAGTGCAGAGAGGGGAAGGCTTGCCCCGGTCACAGAGTGATTGTGATGGTTGGGACCTGAAGCCGAGTGCCTTGACTTTAGCCAACCCTAAAATGGAAATGAATCATGGCCTTTTCTTCACTGGGCTCCAGGAGCGGGGAGCAAGTAGGCCGGCAGTGTCTCTGAGAAGGGCAGTCTGCGGGGTCATGACCTGCTGGTCAAGGGGATGTTGTTGGGGCTGTGCCTGTGCCCGGCCCAGCACGCCTGGCCTTGGGTGAAGGTCCCAGGGTAGCTCAGCCACTACCCCAGCCGCCTGGGGAGGGCTTCTCCGGTAAGTGAAGGTAATTTGGCCAGGCTACCGGAAACCTTAATGTGCAAGCCATGGGCTGGAAGGGTCCAGAGAACAATGTCAGCAGAGGGCAGGATGCTGTGAACGAGCCGGGCTTCCAGGCACGCTGTCGCAGTTCCTCTCCGCTGCCTGGAACACCGGGTGCAGGTGTGACCCTGAACCCCGGTCCCCAGCCTGGCTTACATGGCTCTGCCAGAAATCTGGGAGCCTTCCCTCCCCAGCTTTTTGGAAGCTGGGTGCCGCCACCAGCCACCACACGATAATGTAAGTCAGGAAGAAAGATCTGGGTTCAGGTCCTGAATTCACCATCCACTAGTGGAGCGGCCTTGCACACATGGCCTCATCAGCCTCAGGCTCAGTTGTCACAGCAGCAAAATGGGGACAATGGTGGCTAGCCTTCCCTGAAGGCTAAATGTCACATTTGTCTTCTGAGTACTCACAGTGAGGTAGGGACTATCATTATTGCCATTTCACAGACGAGGAAACTGAGGCCCAAGAAGCTTTAGTAACTGCATGAACAGGTATTAGAGCTCAGATCAGAACTCAGATATGCTTGATTCCAAAGTCTCTGGGTTCTCACCCATTAGCTATACCGCTTTCACTTTGGGGGAAAATTTTCCACCATTCTGAGCCTCGATTGCACCATCTTCAAACCGGGGCTAAAAATAATCACCACGGAATGAGGAATAAACATGCTGGACCCCCTTGCGGGTACTCAAGAAGTGCCCTTTGCTTTGCTTTTTCCCCTCCCCCAGCTTCCCCCAACTCTAAGCTACATGTTAAACAGGAAACACCAGGCTTCCCGAGATAGAAATAAGGACCCCAGCACCTCACCATGGGAGGGGCCTGTTACTGTGCCAGGCAGTGGGCCTTACCTTCGGCTCTGTGTCCTGGCTCTGACCCCCGCCACCACCCCCCTCCTGGTGGTGACCTCACCCTTGGAGAATGCCCACTGGAATTCACCCTGAGTCTGGTCCCCTGGTCTCCATGCCTCTGAGCCACTTCTGACCCAGCCTCTCGCTCAGCCTCTAAACCAGCCATCCACAGAGCCACCAATGGGTGTGAGCCGGGATGCCGTTACTACACAGCTGCTAGTTGGGTCCCCACCTTCGGCCGGCTTCCTGGCTGACCACAGGCATGTAGCTGTCTGTCTCTGGCCGGCTGCCTGCCTCAACCATGAGCAGACAGGCTATTTGGCATGGATCCCTTTGTGTCCCACGTTGCCAGGTGCGCCACCCACATCTAACCCTCCCGACACCCACCTGAGGTAGCAACCATTGTTCCCATATCACAGACGAGGAAACTGAGGCCCAGAGAGATGGTGTGATGTGCCCAGGAACGAGGGAATGAAACAAGAGTGTGGGGGGGCCAGACCCCAACTCCTCGGCCTCCCCCTTGGCCACTCTCCATCCCAGGGGAGTCACAGCATCCCTGTTCTCATGCCAAGAGTGGGGATTTGGGGGCTCTCTCCTTCATTTGCCTTCACCACGCTGGCCCCAGGCAGGAGGCAGAGGAGTCCTTTGCTTAGGAACTACTCCTAAAGCTGCAGTATTCTTTCTAGTCCCAATACAGTGGCTTCACCCACTAACCTCAGCCAGCTGGTGTATCTGGATGCCTCTCTGGGCTGCCTGATGCTAGGAATTAGGAGTCAAAACAGAGGAGGACAGAGCCCTGGCCCTCAAGAATCCTACAGCAAACACGTGGATACAATGTAAAGTATAAATGCCAGAGTAGCAACAAGTAACAAATACCATCATAATGATAAAGCACAGAAAAAGTGGAAACCCCGATAAGGAGCAAGGCTGCAGGGCTGGGTAATACATAGAGGGGTTTTGTTTGGGAGAACTGGATAAGAGTCAGAGGCAGGTACTGGGAAGAGTATTTCAGGCAGAGGGAACAGCATGTGCTAAGGCACAGAGATGGAAAAATAACATGACGTTTCTGTCCCAGGAGGAAGGCGGGGACGCCAGAGGCTGAGTAGGGCACCACCAAGGGGGATGGAGCAAGGCTTTGAATAGGGCCTTGGAGTCAGAAAGA